CGAGGCCCCACCCCCCGCTTCTACCCACGGGAAACGCACAACGTGGTTCCCCGGCCCCACGCCCTTACCCAGCAGGCACAGTGTGTGCATGCCGTTCTGTCTGTTCTTCTTCACTTTGTCAAAGAAGCTCTCCGGTCTCCACGTGTCGGTCCAGAAAACAATGGACACCGTCTCTCCGAACTTATACAGCTAGAAAAAAACACACACAGCCCGAATTAACGCAGGACAGGGCGCCGGGGGCCAGTTCACAGACGACAACCGAAATAAAAAGCGAGAAGCGGGCTTGAGGCGGGTGGGTGGGTGGCGGCCAAATCTGTCCCCAAAAGGAAAAGGCAACTAGTTCTCGTGGCCCAGCCGCCGGCATGCTGCCGACACGCCTCATATCTGTGTGTGGTACAGGCTCATAACCAGTTCGTGACTCAGCTAGGTAGCCGCTAAAAATACAGAAACACAAAGCATCTGGTAAGAAACAAACCAAGAGACCTCTGAGCAGTCGGCGGGGTTCCTGGGGGAACGGAATTATCCTTACCTAACAGGTGAGACCACCGAGGCTCAGGAGGAGCAAATGGCTAGTTAGGAAAGAAGAACCTGGAGCCGAGGTCCGAGGAAGGGCCTTGTGCCCAGCCCCTCGGTAAGGCCCCTGGCGCCTCCCTCCAGCCCCTTCCTGTGCGCACTGGCCATTAGCAACGATGCTTGTGGCTGCATTCTGACAAGTTCAGCTGTTTGCACTCTACAACGCATGTTGGGCATCTGAGACCAGATTCTGAAATACAAGTCTTAACTATTAAAAACCCTGTAAGGCAGCGGTTCTCAACCTGTGGGTGGCGACCCCTTTGGGGGTCGAACGACCCTTTCACAGGGGTCGCCTAAGACCATCAGAAAACATATATATAGTTACATACTGTTTTGTGATTAATCACTATGCTTTAATTATGTTCAATTTGTAACAATGAAATTGGGGGTCACCACAAAATTGAACCCATTCATTCATTCATTCACCTGGAGCTTCTAAACTGGCATTTGCTATAGTAAAGATTGTAATTTAAGATTTCCTTTCTTTTTTTTTATGCTATGCTCTACAGAATTGTATTTGAAAAACGAAAAGGATTGCCCTGTCCAGTTTGGCTCAGCGGTTGGCATCAGCCCGCAGACCGAAGGGTCGCAGGTTCAATTCCTGTACAAGGGCACATGCTTCAGTTGCAGGTTCATCCCGGCCCCTGTCGGGGCAACACGTCGATCTTCTCTCTCTCTCCCCTCCTCTTCTACCTCTCTTCCCTTCTCTCTAAAAAACCAATGAGAAAAAAAAATATCCTCAAGTGAGGATTAAAAAAAAATGAAGAGGCTTGGGAGAATTTTTATAGGTAAATGCTTTGAAATTGAATGTAAGTGGTTTCATCTCAAGCCAGACCTGCCTAGTATTTGTCCTTGTTGCGATACAGGCCGCAGTCCCTCCTCTCCTACGCGCTGGCACAGGAGCTTCTGCTCAGCTCAGAGCCAGGACCCAGCGTGGCACAGAGGGCAGACACTGCACACACACCTCCTGAATAGGTGTGCTCTCGGCTCGCCTACCACCCACCACCCACCCCCTCCC